GATGAAACACTGCATCTCATGTTTGATATATTACTTACCTAATATCACCAATAAAATGCCTAGTGTTGCTAGTTGGTGAATTAGATGCAATCAATCTCACAACGACAACAAATATTGCTTCTTCATTGAAAGTTGTTTAAAAGTACCCAATTCAGTGTTACAGTGATAAGTGTACTATCCGCATGATTGATAGTTGGAACTAAATTAAACTCGTAATAACAATACATGAATATAGAGCAATTTTTGTATGGCTTTGAAATGAAAACGCATGAACAAAACAGAAACAACAACAGAAATAGAGCAATTTGATTGGTTTATCAAACAGATACAAACACACATGGCCTCTGGTTGGTTAAGCAAACGCTCGTGTGAAAAAACTTCATGCACGAGAACTTTCTGGGAATAAATAGATACTTCGCTTTGACATCATACTTCAACATGATTGGCCAATCGAACAATGCCTTCTCCATTTTAGGGTTTTCTTTGGCAGGAAAATGAAGGGTCCATGTTTTGATCTTTTCATCCATTGGCTGATACAACAAATAACAAACACTTACCGAAACCATTTTTCAAGGTCATACAAAACTCTCTCTATCTTAGATAGGTTTAGTGTGATGCTTCCCTACTCACTGTCATGGCCCATTGGTGGCCTTCTTAACCCTTTAACCCCTAAAAATGACCAACATTCAATTTCTCCTGGTGGAAGTAAATAATGTATAATCAATTACATGTTTACCCCCTACTGCTATTTTTTTAATAAACAACATTGCTGATTGTTGCTTAGCATTAAACTTGAAAAGTTTCAATCCATGTCCATCCTTTTCATCTATTGCAACAGATGATAGGAAACAGTTTCAATGTATCAAAATAGTCTGGGCCATTATTTTAGAATTCAACACCTGATGTGAAGATGGGTTTTAGTTCTTTTAAAAAAGATAGCAAATAGTGTGACATAGTCATAGCCGCTTTAAGGAATCATTCTTTTTTCTACTTTAACTGTGTTGTGAAACATAAACAAAGTGGCAACTTTGATGAAAAACTTGTATGTCACAATCAACTCTCAACTCTCTGGGTGAGAAACACTGACACCAAGTGTCCATTTCAGAGAGCCACAGTAAAGAACTGCAGATTGGCAGAGACCAACTTAAAATGTCAGTTGGAGGTGTCCATCACTAAGAGACAGTTGACTGCAATGTCAGTTATGAATCAATTTAAACCAGCTTCTAGTTGACTTGACAGCTAAACTGATTAGAACACTGTAGCGATATCACAGGGGCCGGGGTTCAAATAGCAGCAAGCCTGATATTTTGCAGGCTTT